TTTTTTTTTTTTTTTTTTTTTTTTTTTTTTTGTAACTTCTAAAGATAGACTTCTTCCCTTTGAGATAAAAAAAAAAAATTGCAGAAAAAGTATAACTTCTACGGTCATCTTGCTAACACTATTTATTATAAAATGATTTGAATATTTAGAGTTCAAATGACCTTATTATAGTTACATTCACAAAATTGGACCAAAAAAAGTAGTCTTTTTCCTTAGAGTGTGTATCAATTGTGAAGTGGGTCAATCTCAACCCAAACTCTGGGAGAAAAAGTATCATCCGTAGGTACATTATACCTGTCAGCTGATTTCATAAGGCAGTTTTATCAGCTCCAAAAGAAGCCACTTGCTCAGCCAGGTGCAGCACTGTGCCAGCAACTGCCAGTGAGAGGAAGGAAGGAATAAAAATGCAAAATAAAATAAACTGTATGGAATATAAATCCCATCTCCATAATGTTATTAAACCTAAAAAAAAAACCAATAAAATTACCAGAAAAGCCTAACAGCCTCATATTGAGATCATGAGAGTGACAAAAACATCATTAAGCATTCAAACATTGTTAGGGATAAAAAATCATGATCGTTGCAATTAAATCTTAAATGATTCAGGGGAAAATTATACACACACACGTATGTATAGAGAAAGTGGAAGTGAGAAGGCAAATGTAGAAAAACTGAAATGACTAGTGACTCTAGATGAAGAGATTGGGGAGTTTTTTAACACTATTCTACAAACCTGTATCTAAAAAAAAAGTTTTTAACAAATTGTTAAGACATTTGAAGGAAAGTAAGATAAAGAGCTTATATTTCACAAGTGGTCTTTTTGTTTGTTTGCTTGTTTCAAAAACTGGGTTTTATAGATAGTGCAAGAAAATGTGGGAATGGTGGCGCATGCCTATAATCCCAGCACTCGGGAGGCTGAGGCAGGAGGACTGCTATGAGTTTGATGCCAGCCTGGGCTACATATGGACTTCAAAGCCAAGACGAATTACACAGCAAGACCCTGTCTCACAAATTCAAAAACATTTTTAAATAAATAAATAAAATTAGTTCTCCCATAACTGCCTCTTTCATGCAGTACTGGATTATCTTTTAATCCCTCTTAAAATACTCTAATAATTTTCATAGAAGCTTTTACTTAAATTTGTATAAACATTATAATATTTAATTTACATTAAAAGTTCTGCAAAGCACTCTATTCACAAACTAAAACAGATTTACCTGTGCCCTTTAAAATATGAATCAAAGATACTCTTCATTTTTCTGCAAGGCTAGAAATCAAAATCAGACCCTCATGCATGCTTGGCAAGCACTCTACCAATGAGATATACTCCCAACCAACATACTGTTTTAAAAAATAACTAACATTTTATTTATCTGTTGCAAGGTATTAAAGATATTATATAAATCCTAATGTCCCATCAATATATATCTACTCTATTAAAAAATAATTCTGCATGGGCCAGGGACTCAGCTCAGTGGTGTCGCCACCTGCCTCACAAGTGCAAGGTCGCAAGTTCCATCCCTGGTACAAAAAAAAAAATCTGCAATAGTGTGAAGGAAATTAGATTTATAGGCCTCAATTTTAAAATTTAGGGTACCAAGCAAAAACAAAATTTGGTACTAGTGCATGTACAACCTTATCACATCCTAATACTCCAAAACCCATGCAATTTTCAACCTATTAAAATTTTCCTAAAGTTCAAAATTATATAATCATACTGCTTTATCTGACATATGCATAGAATATTTACAGTAAAGGGCAGAAGGAGCTTGGGCACAGTGACGTGTACCTACAATCCCAGCTACTCAGAAGCTGAGGTGAGAGTCACCTAAGCCCAGGAGTTCAAGACCAGCTTGTGCAACACAGCCAGACCCTACATCCAAAAAAACAAACAGTAGTGTCCAAAACTTTTAGAACATCTCTTTAAAACTGGTATATATGTGCTAAATTTATTCATCGGGTTAATAACTATAAACTTATTACATTAAGTTTTAATAACTCCATGTTACTTTTAGTTTCATATTTCTTTACCAAGAACAAATGAAAGATATACCACCATAAAACAACAATCAAAATCCATGAATGTTTTCTAATAATTTAATGCATTTTCTGAGGTATAAAATTTTTGCACAATTTGCTTTGTATAAAGCATTGAGACATTAAAAGGAATTTCAAAAGCAATAGAAAATATCCCTGCCTTTAAAGACATAAAATATAATGTTGTAACACATATTAAGATGTTAAAAAGGAACAATAAAGAATATGGAATACAATCAGCAAGATACCCCAGGAGCTATATTATCAATTTTAGAAATGCAGAACCAAGTCATTACATGTTTTTCATGAAGACATGACACTTTTAAGAAGACATCAATAACCAGAGAGCACCAGGTGTGATGGTGCATGCCTGGAAACCCAGCACTCAGGAGGCTGAGGCAGGAGGATTGCTGTGAGTTCAAGGCCAGCCTGAAACTGCATACTGAGACACTATCTCCAAAAAAAAAAAAAAAAAAAAAAAAAAAAAATCAGACAGCTTATTGGAGGAAAATCCTGAAACATTCTTCAGTTTCACAAAGTAGAAATGGACCCATTTCATTGACTCTTGTGGCTAGTAAAAATGAAAATAAAACTTTTATCAAGAAATTAACAGGGCTGGGGATTTAGCTCAGCAGTTCGGTGGCCTGCCTCGCAAATGCAAGGACCCAAGTTTGATCCCCGGTACCAAAAAAAAGAAAAAAAGAAATTAACAGCCGGACATGGTGGCTCTCGCCTATTACCCCAGCACTCAGGAGGCTACGGCAGGAGGATTGTTGGGAGTTCAAGACCAGCCTGCTGGGCTACATAGTGAGTTCCAGGTCAGTCTTAACTACATAGTGAGACCCTGTCTCAAAGAAAAAAATAAAATAAAATAAATTTTTAAATAAAATTTAATGCTAAGCTCCTGAAGTAACTAACAAAACTTTTACATACCTATAGTCATAAACATAATACCAGAGAATGGCTGACAGCTAGCATTCTCTCTCCTATCAATACACTGAAGTATAAAGAGATGCAAGATTATATTCAAGTTTGGAGCTTTAACTAGTACTAAAATTCAGCATGCCCATTAGTTATAAACTTTTTTAAATAGTTTCAGTCAAACTGGCTCTCACCCTCACCCAAGCATGTGACTCACTCTGAATTCCACTGTACAAGAAAGTTGGCAAGCAGTTGAGAAGCAAGCTAAGGTACCTAGAAAAGCACTATGATGGTTTGTTTAATCCTGAAGGAAGAATGAAAAAACAAATCACTTTGCCTAGCAAGAAGTTGATCAAGAAACTTTCAAAGACAGTAATTCTCAAATGTGAGATGCACATTAGAAAATAGAGACAAATTTTAGACATAGTTATCAATCCACTTCTATCCTTTCCACCACTGCCATAATTCAAGCCATCATTTCACCCTTGAAATGTTACAACCAACACCTGCCTCTAATTCGGGTTTTATCCTTTTCCAGCCTATTTTCTATAGAAGAGCCAGTTACCCTTTTGGCCTGGCTTAAACACTTCCATTGGTGTCTATGGCACGTCAAAACATCTGCCTTGCAAGTGCCTGTTGGTGGTCTTTCTTTGGATCTCCTACATTATAAGCTCTGTAAGTTTCAAATTCACAGCTGAAGATTCTTGGCACCTAGAACAGTGCCTGGCACAGTGAGCACAGCTTGCTAAAATTATAAAAGATACTAAGAAGGTTTTCAGCCAGGTGTGGTGGTGTTCCCAAGAAAGGAGGAGATAAGAAAGGGGAAGAGAGAAATGCTTACACTGAAAAATATTTAACAGATCAAACTGTGAAAGAAAAGTATTAGATGCTGCTTTTCCAAAGGCAATTTAAACTTTTTTTTCTGTTAAGAATACTTTTAAGCATAGATTGGCCTAAAAGAGACAGAAATAGACCACAGAAAAACTAGATATCCTCTCAAATTTACTCCAGACCTGTGTTTTAAAAGAAGCAGGAGTAGGGCCAGGAATTTAGCTCTGGTTTCTTCACCTGCCTTGAAAGTGCAAGGACCCAAGTTCGATCTCCAGTACCATAAATGAATGAATGAATGAATGAATAAAAAATAAATGTACAGGAGAGCCAGGCTTGGTAGCACATTCCTGCAGCCCCAGCTACTGAGACCAGAGGATTACTTGAGCCCAACAGTTCAAGGCCAGCCTGGATAACAATGCAGAAAGAAAAGGAAATGAAACAAAGAATAAGGCAGGGGCACCAATTAGGGGGGAAGGTGATGAGGAGAAACTATTTCAGACCACGTCTGCCACAAGGTCCCTCCTCTGACTTCCAGTTATGCCTGGCCCAAATGATGCCCTGCTAAGAGAGTGGTGGTCAAGGCCGCTGTCCCCTATCACTATGGCTCCTGTCATCCCATCCCTCCCACATCTCACCCTTGTTCCTGCTTCAATGACTGCTGTTAAAATTGTATCCTTCCCTTTCCCTGTTAGGCCCAAAACAGTAAATACTTCCTGGATTATCCCAGGTGCTCCTGATCCTCGAACAGATATCCCTTCTTTCCCCTCTGTTTCCTGTCTGGGCCTTGACTTGACACAGCTTTATGAACACAAACAGAAACAGCAGACTAAGGTTTTTATTGTCAATATTGCACCTTCTCCAATATATTTTCCAGTAACTTTTAGCAAAAAATGTTAATGTGGTAGGTATTTTATCAACTTAAGATTCTAGATTTTATTTTACTTTCAGTTATATTGTTATAATCTCTAAACTTCCAGAATTACAATCAAATAACTATCTTTATAATTACATCCACATTTTTGGATATACAAAAACAGAAAGAAAGCTAACAACAGAAAAATAAGTCCTGGTACAACTAGAGAAATGTTCTCCAATGATGAAAACATGAAAAAGTGCTCATTTAAAACCTGAAATTCATAAAAACAAGTATACCTTTTATTTTTGAAAAATAAGTCATATTACCTTCAATTTACATCTTCTCAGAACCATTTTGTTGTTGTTATCATTTGTTTTTGTGTGCTGGGGATTGAATCCAGGGCCTTATACATGCTAGGTAAGTGCTCTACCACTAAGCTATACCTCCAATCCAATAAGTATACATTTACATGTTTAGTAAAGGACTAATTGTCCTTAAACTTAAAAATTATTCTAAATTTTTCACTTGAATAGTTTGGTTTTATCAGGGATATATTCAAAGTTTGTGGGGGGGGCCTAAAGTTTATGTAATTGTAGACAGGAGCTTCACTATAAAGAAAAATTACTGCTTCTAAAATTAGGGCTTGGAAGGAGCTTGACAAGCAAGTGCTCTGAAACTTCAGTGTGAGTAGCTTCATAGCTAATCTGTCTCTGGTTATAAAAATAAAATACCATTTTGTAATTCCTTCATCATTAAATTATGAGTGGGATGTTCAATACTTTTATTTTGTATAAAATTAAACATTTCAGGGCCGGGGATTTACCCCAGTGGTTCCAGCGCCTGCCTTGCAAGCGAAAGGTCCTGAGTTCGATCCCCGGTACCAAAAAAAAGCCAAAAAACAAAATACATTTCAAGTGTACTAAAGAAAATATGAACTCTTATTTAACAAACTTTAGTTATTTCAGTGAAGTATTTGTCCCTTTTGTAAATAATAGTAATCATACAATCATGTTGTGTTTGAAGCATACTAGAAGCAAAGTGAAGGTTGTAATTAGTTATTAATAACTGCTGTATATCTGACTCTAACTGAAAAAAACAATAATTTTTTAATTGTCTTTAAAAAGAAGTAGCTGTGCTAAGCTAGTGCAGTGGCACACACCATGGCAGGCTGAGGAAGGTGGATCTTGAGTTCAGAGCTAGCCTGGGCAACATAGGAAGACTCTGCAGTTGTGCTCCACATTAGAATTCAAAGAAAATAGCTGTAACTATATAAGGTGAAGAATAAAATGCAGTTCTAGTAAGCTAACTTATAAAAGGCCAAGCTGCATTTAGTTAAAAGTAAAACACTGTTGTGTACAAACTGAATTAAATTCATTATCATTTCTGCAATTAAACATTCATTTTTAAATTGCCTTTCCTCTTTACACAAAACAAAATTGAACTTATAATTACCATGCGCTTACTAAGAAAATAATTATCTTAAAACAAGAATCATTCTGTCAACTAAAAATAGAATCTAAGAGAAGGAAACTATAAAGCCTCACTTAGCTTGGCATCTAAATTTAAGCAGCCTTAGCTAATGACACTCTTGTGCACTGGTCTCACTCCCTCTACCTCAAGGGAGTAGAGAAGAGAGGAAAGTGAAGAAGAGAAATCTTGTTTCAAACAAAATATTCAGGTTATGTGACACAGTCATCTTTACAAGGAGCCATGCTGTTAGAGATAGTGCTAACTGCATGCTGTTGGCCCTCTGGGTGGATAAGTGAGACCTGGGCGCTCAATGGGCAGTTTACAGGATACTTCAGAAATGGATATTCAGCTCAGTGGCACCAGGCCTGACTCACAAGCCCAAGGTCATGAGCTCAATCCCTGGTACCAAAAGAAAAAAAAAAAAAAAAAAACCCGTCCCCAGGAACTTAGCTAGACTAGCTCAAACACTGGCTGGATTAGTATATAGGATGGCAAGATGTTTACTCTTCATGATGTCACTGAATATAAACAGGCAGTAGGTCAGACATCTATGAACTGAATGAAAGAGAAAAATCAAGCCAAAAGGTACAATGTCCTCTCCAGGATTTTGGGACAACTGTATCTTCTCCTTTCTTTTCTTTCTTTTTTTTTTTTTGGTTTTTGAGACAGGGTCTCACCATGTAGAGACTGACCTGGAACTCACTATGTAGCCCAGGTTGGTCTTGACCTCACAGTGATCCTCCTGCCTCAGCCTTCCGAGTGCTAGGATTACAGACATGCGCCACCACACATTCCCTTCTTTTCATAAAAGCAGTAAAACAGGGAATGAATGAGGCACGATATGATGGTCCCTTCTTTTCCAGACCAAAGTTTCCATGCAGAACAACTATAAAAATGATTCCTACATATAGAAACAAAGTGGCTGATAAGGAATAAAATATTTTTAGGAAATGCTAAACTATGGCTAAAAGTCCCTTTAAAAACAAAAACCTTGCGCCAACCAAGTCTCACCCTCCCTTTCCCAATGACGTAAATTAAACAAAGAAAGAGCACACCATGCAAAATATTCCAAGCTTAATGTAATGAATTTTTGATGTTTTAATGAAAAGTAGCATGAAGGTGGAAACCAAAAAACAGCTCTTGGAGTCTAATGTCTTAAAATCCACACACTTTCACCTTGCATGTGTGGAAGAAGAAAGAGGAGAAGAGAAAATCACTTCCACCTGGACCACTGCTTTTCTTTATCTGTTAAAGGCACATATATCACCCCCATCAGAGGCTTCATTTTGACGCTGCCGTCCTGTAGCTTATCATACTGCTCCAACATTTGGTTTCCACCTGCAGGACCAACGGGCAATATCAATCTTCCACCAGGCTTCAACTGGTCTATCAGCTACAAGAAAACAAACAAACAAAAAAACAAAATGCACACACCAAGTTATAGATCTGATGTCACTATAAACAATGTTCACTGTCTGTGGGCACAAAGCAGGTATGTGCTTTATTTAGTACACATAATCATTTCTCAGTATCTTTGGGGGGATTAGTTTCAGGACAACTGAAGGATACTACACTCCACAGTTGCGCTAGTCTCTCATATAAAATAGCATAGTATTTGCATCATATATAACCTATGCACATCCTCCCATATTTTTTTCTTTTTTTTTTTGAGGCAGGGTCTTACTATCCTGCACAGGCTGGCCTTGGACTCAAGCAATCTACCCACCTGGGACAAGAAGTGTGCATCGCTCTACTTAGCTTTCCTCATACATATTAAGTCATCTCTAGATTACCAACAATATCTAATTAAGGCACTCACATCACTTCATTTGGTTAGATTTAGCATAGGACTCAGTGTATAACATATTCAAGTTTCACTTTTTGGAACTTCCTGGATTCTTTTCCCAAATATTTTTTATTCATGATTGGCTAATGTACATTTTTTGAGTGTAATACTATTACTCAACTTATTCATTTACCTCTTAAGCCTCTTCTACTCAACTGAAGACAGGGATTATGTTATGTCTTTGTGCCATGAGCTCCTGACACAGTAACTATTTAACTAAAATGCTCAAGTTTTAACTGAACCACCTAGAGCAGAGCTATATTCCTGCAGACTGCCAAGGACAAAGCAGAAATTCTAATGCTGTGAGCCTGCCTTGGGTCTCTGTGAGATGGAAAGGATGGGGAGGGAGTAGAGAATCTATAGAAAAATTAGCAAAAAAATCCCTACCCTATAGGTGTCATTGAAGCAAAGATAAGAGAAAATTAATTACCTAAATGACCTTAGGGTTACTCATACCATGAAGAAGGAAGGTAGAGTACTGCAGCATTTAGAATGAGGGGAGCCGTGGTCATCAAAGAAGAACCAAGATTTGGTGACAGGCCCTCCAGTCAGAAAATAACTAAATCATGTATTACCATATGAATATAATCTTATCGATCATCTTTACTCAAAAGCAAGAAGGAAAAAAAAAATGATTTTTGATATTATTACCCCAGAGAGGGGTCTTGACAGTTCAAAATGGCTTTGAAAGTCTATCTTATACTTTCCATTTAAATTTTTTTTTCTCATTGAGTTTATTGGTACATTTTAGGTATACAGTACAGTTACATTCATCATTGGAATCTTTACATGACAGGTCTTGGTTCTCATTTTTTCCCCTTGCCCCTGCCCTCCCTTCACCCCCTCCTCCCCTCCCCATTTACAAACATTTTATTTCCATTTTTTCATTTTCTCCTATTTTTTTTCTTTCCCTTATTACCTTTCCCCAACCCTTCCCACTTTCCCTACACCTTTAGCCCTTTTCTTCCTATTTCACAATTATCCCATTAGGATTTTATGTACTATTATAGTTTGTTCATACCAGAGAAACTATTCAGTATTTACACGTGTGACTTATATATTTCACTTAGGAGTATATCATCAAAATGTATCCATTTCCTATGAATGACTCTAGTTTCTCATTCTTTATGGCTGAGTAGTATTCCATTTTATAGGAAAACCACATCTTCTTTATCCAGTTTCCAATTGATGGGCAGTGGGCTGTTTCCAGGTTTTAGCTATTACAAACTGTGCCGCTATAAACATAGGTGTGCATATATCACTGTGATATGATTCTTTTAATTCTTTTGGAAAGATACCCAGCAGAGGGATGGCTGGGTCAAATGGAACCTCTAGTCCCAGCTCTTTGAGGTATCTCCATATTGATTTCCATAGCAGTTGCACTAGTCTGCACTCCCACCAACAATGAAGAAGGGTTGCTTTCTCCCTACAACCCCGCCAACATTTGTTATTGAGTGATTTCCTGATAGCAGCCATTCTTTGTGGAGTGAGGTGGAATCTCAGTGTTGTTTTCATCTATATCTCTCGAATGACCAGTGATATGGAACATTTTTTCATATATTTACTTGCTGCTTTTACTTCTTTGTCTGAGAAATGTCTGTTCATTTCAGATGCCCAATCAGGTCCTTATATTTGGTGGGGGACTGATTGTTTTGGGAAAAACTTTTACCAGCTGCTCCTCAGACAAAGGACTATTATCTAGAATATATATAATGAACTCCATTTAAATTTTTAACAAGGCAATAGCTGCAAGTATTCTTTAGCTGTTTTTCTGAAAGTAAGACATCAATTTCTCCTGAGGCCCAGTCTTGCTCCCTAAATCCAGTCACTTTAAATCCTTTTAACTATGTCATCTAATATTTACCTTCATATTTCAATATATGTGAGATAAGGATTCCACTCTTAGCACACATTCTACTTCCTTCTTCCAACCCAATGAATTCATAATTTTTCATTAAAACCATTTTCAATTTTTACTGGGTATTTTGCTGCTGACCAATGATATGCTGACCAAGGTATCCAATGATTGTTTCCTTTCTTATATAATAGTTTTATTCACTGCACCTAAAATGGAGATTTCCTTTTCATTTTATTTTCTTTGTAACTATCTCTAAATCTTTCTAACCTCCAAAAGCTTCTCAATAAAATTTTCACACAGACAACACTATGTAATTTCTGCTTTTTGTCTTTTCTGTATTCTCCTCTTAGGTTTATTGTCCATCTTTTATTCTAGGGTTTCCCTGCACAATAATCCTGCAATCTCTTTGACCAATATGCTCTACTTCCTAAATCCCATGGATTTCTCTTTGGCTTTTCCTACTGTATCTATTTTTCCCTCATTTCAACTTTTTTCTCTTTTCTTTACTATTTTTGTATGAAAGTATTAAGGTAATTTCTCTGGAAGACTTTTACAAAATAGTGCATGGGAAACCAACTTCTGGAAAGATGGTGGAGAGGTGAACAACAACAAATCAACATTCCAGAATGTCACAGTTTGAAATATAACAATTTGGAGAAGGAAGTAGATCCCTGGGACCCAGGACAACCTAAAGGGAAAAATGAAACCTTCAAAGAAAGTGAAGAAACAGACCTCAATGCAGAAAAAAAGAGGTGGTAAACTGCACTTTCTCTCCAGCTCCCAGCACCAGAGACAGATTGAGGGTGGTGACTCCAGAGGCCTCCAGGGAGAAATGGACCAGTAGATGCTGTGAACTACAACAGCCAGTGAGTGACTCCAGTCCAAGTATCTGCCATGTCCCCTGGAGAGGGTACTTGGCCAGATGCCATTTTAGGGAGGGGCCAAGTGAACCTGGGACTCAGAGCAGCCTCACAGTTCCCAGTAACTAGGTGAGGGAAAACTGCAGGACATGTTCAGGGTCAGGGAGCTGAGAACAGGCCCACAAAAGATACCCAGAGTATTCTTAGCTGAACAACTCAGGCCCTAACACCACAACCAGAGGCCAGAACTTCTGTGGAGTTGAAAGCTCCACAATCGGCAACCTGTACTATTCCTACTTCAGGCTTGCTGAGATTGTCCAGGACAGATCCAGGCTCTGTCTGCCTTTGTCTACCAGTAACAGCAGAGACATGCTATCAGTTGGACACCACCACAAAACAGTAGAACCCAGAAGATAACCACAGGCTGGAAATTGAGATATCTTTTTTTTTTTTACTTTTTTAAAACTTTTCTTTCTTGATTGTTTGTTTTGGTTTTTTCACGCGTGTCAACACTTTCTAGCTTTTTTTTTAAGCAAATATTTATTGGTAATTTTAGATATGCATATACATTCATCATAGGGAATTTGCACCTGTACATGATATATCTTTCTTCTTTTTTCTCATTCCCCCACTTTCAACTATCTTCCCCTCCTTATTTACAAAAGCTTTGTTTCCATTTTTTTCTATCCTTTTTTTCTTGTCCCTTCTTTCCTTTCCTCCAGGCTGTGCCCGCCAAAAAAACACTGCCCGCTACTTACCACCACCCCCCAGCAGGATCAGTATCCTCCTGTTCATGTAAAGATTAGCAATCACTCATAACAGATGTATCAACAAGAGCAACAGGAAGCGTCTGCCTCTGATGTCTATCAAGAACAAGGCATGGGAGCACTGAGGTAGCACAACCTCCACCCTGGCACTTGCACTGAAGGCTGGCTGCTGCCCTGCATCCCTTGCTCTGCTGGGCATCATGGGCCAACATGGACCAGGAAAAGGAGCTGCTAAAAAATCACCAAAAGCTGGAGAATATGGTGGCCAGGAGGAACATGGAAGGGGCCCTGGACCTTCTGAAAGAAGGTGGACAACTATCAGTTGTCCAACTAACTGCTACAGACAACCAGGATTGGGGTTGATGTTAATGGTGTTCACAAGCACTGCTCAGACAAGGAAGTGGCAGCCTTGGCCAAAGTCCTCATCAAAAACTGGAAGCCACTGTTGGATTCCCCAGGATCTCCCAAAGAAAAAAAGGAGAAAAAGAAAAAAGCAAAGAAGGAGAAAGTGCTTGACTATTCAGACTGGAAGCCAGAATCAGCCCTTTCTTCACCCAGGAGTAAAGGAAGAAAAGAACCCAAGAGCAGGAGCAACTCCATGAACTTCAAGGCTTCTGTCACCTCTCTAAAAAGGCCATCGATAAAAATATCAAATAGCAGCAAATCAAATGAAAAAAGCGTGCTAGCTGTTCCTCAGATACAAGACTAACATCTACAATATATAAGGAACTTAAAGAATGCCTAATTTAAAGACCCAATCCAAAAATGTGCATCTGAAATGAAAAGACACTTAGCAGATGAAGAAGTAGAAACAGCAAATAAACACATGAAAAAGTGTTCAGGGCCAGTAATATAACTCAGCGGTGCAGCGTCTGCCTGGCAACCATGAGTCCCTGAGTTTAATTCCTGGTACCAAAAAATAAAAAAATTAAAAAAAACAAACTGAAAGTGTTCAACATCATAGGTCATTCAAGAAATGCAAATTAAAAGAACACTGAGATTCATCTCACTCCAGAAAGAATGGCTATTATCAGGAAATCAACCAACAATAAATGTTAGTGAGGCTGTGGGGGAAAAGGAACACTTCTCCAGTGCTGGTGGGAGTGTAAACTGGTACAACCACTGTGGAAATCAGGGTGGAGATTCCTCAAAACACTAAAACTAGAGGTTCCATTTGACCCAGCTATTACCCTTCTTGGTAACTTCACAAAAGAATTAAAAGCATCATACCACAGCAATATATGTACACCCATATTTATAGCAGCACAGTTTGGAATAGCTAAATCTTAGAAATAGCCCAGAGGGGCCGGGGATTTACCTCAGTGGTTCTGCCACCTGCCTTGCAAGTGCAAGGTCCCAAGTTCAATCCCCGGTACCAAGAAAAAAAAAAAAAAAAAAGAGGGTAAAAGAAACAGCCCAGATGCTCATCAGCCGATGAATGCATAAAGATGTTTTTTTTTAATACAATGAAGTACTACTCAGCCATAAAGAAGGATAAACTTGAGACATTTCTAGCTAAATGGGTGTAACTTGAGATTGTACTCTTAAGTGAAATAAATCAGATACATATTTTAAATATCACATTGCTTCTCTTTTGTGAGAAACCCAAAGGGAAAATAAGGACCAATATATTGGGAAATAGGAAGAAAATGTTCAAATGGGAAGGGGAATAAAGGGGGATGAGGGAGGGAAGAGAGGGAATACAGTAGAGATAAAAATTGAAAAAAATGGAAGGAAAATAATAGAAACAATGTTTTAGAGGAGAGGGGAAGATGGAATAAAGGGAAGGGTGGAGAATAGGAAATAAGAAGAATTAAGATTTATTATGTACAAGTACAAATTCCCTATGATGAATGTGATTATATGTCAAAAGTGTACCAATAAAATTAATTTTAAAAAATAAAATAGTGCATAGAATACAAGAGAAGATACAATTTGCAAGTTCAAAATCACCTTTATTCACTTGGTGATACGTGGTCAAAAAGAATTCAAGATTGGAATCAATTTTCAGCTCCAAATTTTGATGTTATTCTGCAGTCTTCTTACCAAAACTTAATAGATTAGTATTTTGTTTTTCAGAAAATTTTACAATCTCTAAATATTCTAAAATTTCATGTAGTTCTTTATTATTTTAAAAATGCATTGTGGAGCCAGGGATTTAGCTCAGCAGTTCAGTGGCCTGCCTTGCAAGCGCAAGGACCCGAGTTCAATCCCTGGTAAAAAAAAAAAAAAAAACTAAAAATGCATTGTGCTGATGCACATTGAGTCCATACTCTTAAGTGAAATAAATAAGACACACATGTGTGAATACTGAAAACCGAATAGTTTCTCTGGTGTGAAAAACTAAAAGTGCAAATAAGATCCAAATTGAATAACTGATAATGTGAAATAGGAAGAAAAGGGCTAAAGGTGTAGGGCAAGTAGGAAGGGTAGAGGAAAGGAAATGAGGGACAAGAAACAATATGAGAAAAGGAAAAAATGGAAACAAAATCTTTGTAACTAGGGGAGGGTGGAGGGGGTGAAGGGAGGGCAGGAGTATGAGGAAAAAATGAGAACCAAGATACATCATGTAAAGGTAAAAGATCCCAATGATGAATGTAACTGTACTGTATACTTAAAAAGTACCAATAAATTCAATAAGATTTTAAAAAATGCATTGTGTTGGGCCAGGGATTTAGCTCAGTGGTGCAGGACCTGCCTTGCAAGCACAAGGTCCTGAGTTTGACCCCCAATAAAAAAATAAAAATAAAACACATGGTAATAGGCACTCAGAATTAGGTTTTTCAATTTGGAGAAATATCTTATTTAAGGTGTGAGGCTGTTTCTCACACAGTGTTGTCTGCAATAAACTTTCTTTCCAGACTCACGCTTCCCTATGATTTCCAAGGTGTCGATGCCTCTAATTCCTGCCCCTCTGAGTTCTCCAAAGTGCTTCTGCGTTGTGTTGACAGTCTTCTCATTAATCTCCTAGGTTTCTGCTGCCTCCTGAGTCAGCTATTATTTCATCTGCTTTGGATCTTCACACACTGCAGAACTCAGGATTGAACCTATGATCTAGTTAATTTGAATATGAAGTTTCTGTTTCTGTTTCTTCTTTTCTAGTTGTCTGTGTAAGACCCAGAGGAAGTATAATCATCTCAACTCTGAAAATCTCCTTCAACAATCTCTCTTTAAATTCTATTAGATATATACAGATCCCTATAACAGTTACAGGTGCTACTATAATACTTAAAGTCATTTTAAAGCTGAATGTAGTGATGCACATTTCTTATCCTAGCATTCTGGGTAGCTGAGACAGGAGGATCTCAAGTTCAAGCCCAGACTAGGCAACCTGATGAATTAGTGAGATACTGTCTCAAAATAAAAATAAAAGAGCTGGGAACACAGTTCAGTGTGAAGGCTCTGGGTTCAATCCTCAGTACCAAATAAATAAATAAATAAATAATCAATCTTATTAAGCTAAATCTAGAAATGTCCTTCAAGGTCATCTGGGGGTCCTCATGGGCAAGACAAGTCCTGCACCCACCCCTTTTATTTAAACATCATACTAGTTCAGACTTTAACTGTTCACCATGGCTGCCAATATTAAAGACTGATCATTGAGCACAGTAGTATCTGGATTCCCAGCTACGTGGGAGGCTGCATAAGGAGGATTCCAAGTTCCAGGCCAGTCTGGGCAACTAGTAAGACCTTATGTCAAAATAAATCACAAAAAGGGTTGGACATGTAGCTCAGCGATACAGCAATCTTGAGTTCAATCCCCAGTACTGCAAAAAACAAAAACAAAAAACTCACACACAAAAAAAATTGACCATGTGTTCCTGCATGAAAATTCATTACTTTTCTAAATTATAATTCAATTAAAATGTGTTCGAACCACCAGTTTAGCCTTTAAATATATGTATATATACATATGTATTAACACATATTAATACTACATATAGTATTAATATTAATATGTATTAATTACATATATATTATATATTAATTT